CCATCCGACGTACGAGATCAATTTAAAGGTGATCATGAATATTTCTTGGGCATTTAATTTCTTGCCTACTGTGCCTTTATATTAAGTATATAAGGATAAGGAAAAGGGGCGAAAAAAGGAAGAAAAGCGTTTTCTTATTTCTATTTATTTTTTAACTACAGTTTCTGAGGGGTCTTGGCCCATAAGACGTTAGGCAAACACTACGTTTATTATAAAAAAAAAATATACAGAAGTATTTAGTCCCTCCGTCTCAAAAAAAAAAAGAATAGTCTCACATCGGATTGAAATCTGTATCAAAAAATAGAAAAACTCTCAAAACTCAATATAAATTATATTTTTAAAATTCGTGTGCGATTTTTTTTTTAAGAAAAGAAATTTGAAGAAATAGTGTTTCTTGAAGGTTAATACTTACAATGTCTGACATGGCTACGGCTTGTAATATTGTCCAAGTAATGAACATTTGAATTTTGTTCATAGGTAATGAAATTTGGGATTTATTCAAATTTAGAATATTGATAGTCATCTAGTTTAAGATATTGGTAGTCGAAATATTGTGGAGGAAGTCAACAATCACAGTACAGATAGTTACAGGTAATTCATTAATTTCGTTTTTTTATATGTGTTTTTAAGTGTTTTTTGTATTAAAAATGTAAAAAAATATATTAAAAATGTAAAAAGATATATTAGGATGGGACAATTATTATTTAAATATTTTAAAAATACCATAAAAAACTTAACAAACAAAGCCTTAAGGGGATCCATGATTTTTTTGAGTTGAGATGACTATTAAAGGTGCTACTCTGCAAATTGTGTACCGTGAATTTCCGGTGGATTATTTGACTTTGCTGAGTTAAAAGAGTTATATACGCATCCAGGTTAATCATAATGTGACTAAAACGGGTAGTCGGGAATATGGTGCTCAAGATTTTGTGCTAGTTTTATTTTTTCAAATCCTTTTGCCTCATCTATTATACGGAAAAAAAAAAGTTTACTTTAAAAGTAATAGCGAGGATAAAGATAATGAAAAAAAATGTGAGGTAAATAAATGAATTAATATAAAAAAATAGTATTTCTATTATTGACAATAAAATTAAGAATGATTATATTTTTTCTGTTTTAAGAAAAAAAAGAAGAGCCAAAGTGGTAATAATTTACGTATGCCAAATCATTCATTGTTCGAACTTCATTCGTGAAATCTATTTTTTGTAAAGTATAGTAATTTATATGTAAGTTATCAACCCAGACCAGCATACAGTATATGGAGCCATTATTCATTTACGAAGATGAAGAACGCATTAGAAGCCATTAATATCTGTATGAAATTCTGGGGAATAAAATGAAATTTTTTTACAATTTATTTATATATATATATATATATTTGCATTCTTTATATATATATATATATATATTTATTTGCAGGGTGTCCACAGTCAGCAAGGGTGACTAATCCCTTCACTGAATTGTAGGCACCTCAATGGGTGGGACAATTGGCCAAAGTATTTAAGATTGTTCCATGCCTATGACGAGATTCGAATCCTCGATCTATGGTTAAGGGTGGAAGAGTCCCTTCCACTCCACCACAACCACTTTGGTTATAATTTCTTTAATCAATGTTGACGATCCTAATGGTATGGGGCGGAGTTTTCCTTTAAAGGTCAAACAGATATGGCCCTTGAAGGCCCATGAGATTGAGAAATGAGACTTCTTTTTTTATGGGCAGTGTCTTGATAATGATGGGTTTTAGGAGTTCCAAGATCCAATGCCATTTTCAATTGGGTACTTATTCCATTTTCTTTCTGTTACGTTGAAAAATTCAGTATTACTATTTAGAGATTAGTTAATGTTGCTAATGGTAGTTGTATTACATGTAAAATATTTTTTTATCTTTAAATAATTGTTTAATTTATAATTTTAGTACAATTTAAATTGAACATAAAAATTTAAACTAAATAATTATTTTTAAAAAGAGAAAAAAAAAAGTATTATCGCACACAACACGGAATGTGTAAAAGAAAATGCATTTTTTTTTTCTCCTTATACATTACACATCTAGTGGTTACTGCTCTATATAATTCGAATTCAATGTATAAAATTTGTAAATGTTTAAATACTGGATCGAATCTTTTTCTTTCGTATATTAATATAGTTGATATCTTTTTTCTTTCATTCTTTGCAAAACTTACAATAATGAGGTCTTAATTAAATTCATCATGAGTTTATGACGTGGAATCTTGATGATCTTATCGACGTTGCCGTATAAATTTTGATTTCTAACTAACTACACATTGATTAATTCATGCGTACGCAAATATACATAAAATTAAATGTGTCCTCAGCCTGCCCGCACCGATTAAATTCACTTCATTCACATCACGTTTATTGTTACTAATATTATGCTTGAAATTATTGTTTATTTCGTGGAAGAAATCATGGCGTAACGTATCGGATGTAAGATTTCCATGGTTTTACCATACTACAAGTATATGTGCAAGTTTGACTATTTAGAAGTTGAGCGTAAATCATTGTAATAGTATTTTATCCGCTCAAAAAAAATAATCTACGTTATAAAAATATATTTAAATTTCGATCTTCATATGTGTGAACATTCTAATATTTATTGGGATTTGTTGCAGAGGATGCGATATTTTCTTTCAGCCAAAAGTATGAAAGATTTACCAGTATCTTTTAACAGGGGCAGTTGGGAATTAGTAGTAGTATATCAATTTTGCCTTCGACTTATGTTACATTTTGTGTAAAAGTCCTTGAATTGAACAACCCAAAGATTAGTAATATTCATGGAATTCCAGTGATTAATCATTCACTAATCCCATCAAGTGATCAATTACACTATTTAATTAATAGTATTAAGTTGTAACAACAAACAATACAAAACCCTGAAGTGCCATAATGTCATATCTTGTAGATGGAAAACATCAACCACGTTACTTCCACAACATTGGTGAAGTGCAACATTGATCGCTCGCTAGTTAGGTTAACTTCGCAGTAGAAATGTATGGTGATATCATATGTTTTCTACGTACGAATACCAACATTCTTCTTTTTTTTAAAAAAAAAAAAAATCACTCTACCCGAAGAATAACGATTTATAAGCCCCCAAAAAAATAATAAAAATTACTTAAACCTATATAATATTACCTCAGTCTCAAAAAAACTTATCCACATTAATTTTAAAGTAATACTTTTGTGATTACTACCCTTTCTGTCATTTTTTTTTTTTGTTTTTGATACAACAGAAAGAGGCTAACGTCTATAATATTACATTTCTAGGGTATGAAACCCTCATTACGTCGTGCTCCAACCATGGTTTGACCTCTAATGGCTGAATTTCGAACTATTTCTTTTAGATTTCATTTATCGTATTTTTTAATTAGAAACAAAACTTTATAAATGTTTTATAATATTTAGAAAAACACAATGAATTTGAAAATATATTTTAATATTTTATTTTCAATTGGAACAACGTATTAAATAAAATTTAGAAAAAATCATAATGATTTATAATAAGGATTTCCAGAAGAAAAAAAATCGACCTTTTTTCTTTTGGGAAGGCAACTCCATTTTATTATGTATTTATGACAAGCATTGAAGACGCCGTTTTTTCTTACAGCTTGATAGAATGTGAAGTTTGCAAACTGTAACGATAAAAGTAGGGGTGCTGGCAAATATGATACCGGACCGTATATAAATAATTAAAAATAAATTAATTATCTGGGATAGAAGAAGTACGAATATAAGGATTATAATACAGAGTGGAGGGTTGAGTGGACCACGATTAATAATATTATCAAAATGGGAGCTATTTAATACCAAAAAAAAAAAAAAGGATAGATCGATATGTTGCCATTTGAGACTTTGAGTTATTTCCGATTAACAATGACAGAGAGGAGCGGGTCAGAAGGTAACTAATCAATCAATATCAAAGAAGGAAATCCCAAAATCAAACGATTTCTTAAATTTATTTTAACGTGTTTGATAAGATATAGAGAATCTTGCAATACTGTACCAAAATTAGTCCAAAGAAAACGAAGATAAAAGACTTGATTAAACGACTCAGTCCTTACGTAGTTTTAGTATCAAATCCATCGGGGTTGCTTAATGCTCATCATCCTTCTTTTTTTCTAATAAAGAATGAGGAATTCATTTCGTATGACAATAAGTACTCTTTTCGTAATTATAAAATACAAATTTAAACTAATTTTAGTATCAATTTACGACTTAAGTCCAACAGGAGTATATATAATTATTTATAATAGATACTGATTCAGCTTCGATGATCCGATAGTTTCCGTTGTAATAAGTAAAATACGTAATTCAATAAAAAAAATTAAACGATGTTACCGACAGTGAACAATAAAAACTGAACATTGAACACCCTATACATAATACTCCCTCCGTTCCAAAATAAGTGTCATTCTAGAGTTTGCACATAGATTAAGAAAACATTAAATAAGGTAACTAAATTACTAGAATATCCTCAACCAACCCCATTAAAATAAATGTTCACCAAAAATATTATTTCTTTTGAGGGTATGTTTGGAAATTTTTGACAAAAAATGTATTGGAATCCGAAAACGACACTTATTTTGGAATTTCTCTATTTTGACAAAACGACACTTATTTTGGAACGGAATGAGTATTAGTAGTACACTGCTAGTATTGACTATTCACTTTGTCCCATAATTATTGTCCAGTTTGAATTTTTATTTTTAGTTTAAATTGTACTAAAAATAAAATCTCAAACTGGACAATAATTTTGGGATAGAGGAAGTATATGTTTCTCGCCAAGTCTAATTAATGCAAGCCCATAAATTCATTGCTAACACCCAATTCCCGATCATCCACCTATTCTGATTGATCCACACCACCTAATTGCTTGAACTTTTGGTCTAGTGGATCATTAATTGCCATCACAATTCACAACATTTTTGCTTCTTTCGATATATTTCTCATTAAAATAGTAAATTCTCTAATATATGAACCTGTCACCTTATATAAACCTATTGATCCATCATAGTAGTAGTACCTCATATATCTGTTCACAACATTTTGTTTTTCTTACCAAAACGCCTCTAAAAAAAATGCCGATTCCCGGCGGCGACAACAGCCTCGTGTACGACGTAAAACTTTCGTCGGTAGTTCCGGCAAGTATTACCGGAGAAAACAAAGTCCATGAACTAACAAACATGGATTTGGTCATGAAGCTTCATTACATCAAAGGTGTGTATTTCTTCAAGGCTGATGCGGTTCAAGGTTTGAGTACTAATGATTTGAAGAGGCCATTGTTTCAAGTTTTGATTCCTTACTACCCAACATGTGGGAGAATTAGAATGTGGGAATCCGGCGGCCGGCCGTACATCCGATGCAACGACAGCGGCGTTCGTATCATTGAGGCCAAGTGCGGTAAAACTGTAGAAGAATGGCTGGAGATGAATGATTCTTCACTTAATGATCAGCTCACTTATAACCAATTCTTTGGTCCTGATTTGGGTTTTGACCCTCTTGTTTTCATCCAGGTATGTTTCCAATCCCATCCTTTCTTCGTATTCATTTATTCATTTATCCGATGTCAACTGTTGAAATGATAAGGTTTTCGCGACATGACTTTATTTTGTAAAAATGTAACGCCATTAATTTTTTTTTTTGATACAAATTTTACAAATACTTAAACTATTATATAACTGGGTATAAGAAAAGAGAACATGTAACCTAGTCTAATAGGGTAGAATTCACACCTGTAACGCCTCTTCCTGGCTTTTTGCACGCCATTGGTATATGCAAATAAGATGGTCCTCTTAACAATTTTCTTCGTGTAATGAAACTTTTCACGAGTCACATTATCTATAGTTTTTGCTAGTTTCCTCTTCTAGGCATGCATCTACTTTTTTCCAAAAGAGAAATTAATGAGGAACTTAATGAGAAAATGATAAACCAGGGCATGGGATGGAAATAGTTATAAAAACTGCACCATCAATCAGCGTGTATAAAACTTCAATTTGATGAAAGTTAGTTGGTAAGCTAATAGATACTACTTATGCATAGACATAAATGATCCTTCTTATATCACATGGCTGAGCTTAAAACCAATCGACAAATTTGATCAACTTTCAAAGCTACTTTGATTAACCCTTACCCAAAAGATAGAGACATGTTAAGGTTGACTAGTTTTATTTTGTTAAAATGAATGAATATTGTTGTAACACTCGAAAATGGTTGGTTTGGTTGAATGTAAAACATCATCTTATCAATCTACTGTAGCAAGTTACAGAATGGAATGAGATTGACCTTTCGGACTATAAATCATAAATGTGGTCATGGGCCAACTGCCGCCCAGCCGGAAAGCAGTTAATTTTCACCGCCACAAATTAATGCATTTTCAGGCAATTCTGAATCTCAAAGTTGATTGAATAATTTATATGACCCGCAATATTGCCTTTCTTGGTAATTTGGTATCTTTATATGGTTCAAACACGACATTGTCATGGTGTTTACCAAACTTCAATGTAAATTATTTTTTGAGACGGAGTGAATAACATTTTATGTGATCTTATACATACATTCAAAAGGCGGTGTTGTTTTTTAATCATTAAGACAAATTTGGCGGTAAAACTAATGTTGATTATTATTACTACTAGTCACTATTATTGAATTGATTAAAATTGTGTTTGTTCAGTTCACATGGTTCAAATGTGGAGGGCTCTCAGTAGGCCTAAGCTGGGCTCATATTCTTGGAGACGTATTCTCAGCTTCTCAGTTCATCAACACCTTGGGCAGCCAAATTACGGTCACCGGCGGCCTATTGCCGCCGGCCGGTAATCATTTGGAAATCCCTCCGATCACAGGGAACAAAGCCATTATTCCCAAAGTACCATATTGTCTCCAGAAGGTACAACTCGATCCCGCCGGCGGCAAATGGCTGGTTTCCAACCGTTGCAAAATGCAGAGCCATTCTTTCCATATAACCGCAGAACATCTGAATAATCTGGCTAAATTGTCTCCTAAATTGGGGAAGAAGAAACCCTTTGAAGTAATTTCAGCAACGATTTGGAAATCCATAGCTAAAGTTCGAGGCAAAATCGAATCATCAGAACCAAAAACTATTACAATTTGTTCGTACGAGAAAACCAATCCTGCCGAACTAGTCTCACTTGGAAACTCCCAAGTGACCATTTGGACAGTGGAAACATCGAAACTTAAGGTTGGAGTTTCAGAATCTGATTTAACCGAATTGGCCGACTTGATTGATGGAGAAAAGGTGGACGAAACAAGCAGGATTGAAGAAGCTCTGGAGCAAGAAGATAATGGTGATGGGAAATGCGAGGATTTCATCTTGTACGGCGCAAATTTGACGTTTGTGAATCTAGAAGGGGTGAAGATTTATGGGTTGGAATTGAAAGGGCAAAAACCAGTTCGTGCGAGCTATAATATAAGCGGAATTGGTGATGAAGGGGTTGTTTTGGTTCTTCCTGCAGGGCCTAATGATGGAGATGAAGAAATGGGGCGAATGGTAAATTTGATTCTTCCTGAAGATCAATTGGAGGATTTGAAGAAAGAATTGCAGAGTGAATGGCGTATTTTCTGAAGAATTCATGCAAATTTTGATCATTCTCCCTGCAGACTCAGTCGTTGAACATGTATTATTGCTACTATAATTCATTTTCAGCTTCTTTTTTCTAAGTTATATTATTGTGTACGTACTACTTTTTATTTTTTTTTATACTGCTTTGAATACAAAAACAAAAGTTGTATTCACAAAATGTATTAATTTCTTTGAGCAGGCGAAAAAACAATGCATGTAAGATCCATTTATCCAAACAAAGCCAACATGCCCAAAATCTAGGTCACAGATAATTATACATCATGATCCATTTGTTTAAAAAAAATAATTCACGTTATATTTATAATCTGTAACTAGATGTTTGGCCCAAGCAGATGCCCGGGCGCCCCTTCTAAATTACTATTTTATTAAAATCTAATTGAATTACTATTTTTTGAGGAATTAATTTGGCGTATATATCATTTATGCTATGGTTTGGGGCTTAAAAAAAATATACCTATAAATCTGAGGTTATAAGGGAATAATAAATAATTAGTTTATAAGGCATTATTCTTAATTACTGGATTTAGGTATTTTTATTTTTTGTTTATATTAATCATGCAAAACTATACGATTGGACATTTGAATTTGAATTAATATATCCATTCGTTTGAAATGTAACTGATCCTTATTTGTAGTAAAACATGTTTTTTTTAAAAAAAAAAAAAAAATTATATAGCTTGTAATTAAAAGAGACTTACACGTGGCAAAAAAACTCCTGAAATCTGAAATATGGTGCATTGAGCCAAAACAGATGCATACTTAGTTGTCACATAAGCTTCATGTCTTCTGCTTTAATAGGGTAAAAGGGATAAAAACAATACAAATTCTAAATTGTAAAGCATATAGAATACTCACATTTGTAAAGTGAACTATTTTTATAGAATAAACAAAAACCTCGCATTTTGTTGTCAATCAGATTCCTGATTTAGGCAGGTAATTGACATGCTTTTATTGGGATAAGGGCAATTACTCCCCTGAGTTTTGTCTCAAACCCTAAAACCCCCTAAGTTTTTATCAAAGGATAATTACACCCTGAATTATGTCTATAAGACTATTCCACCCTTTTGACACATAAAAAGACTATAATGCCCTCAATAAGCTTGCGGCCCAGTTTTTTAAAAGAAGTTTTTTGCTTTTATTTGATTTTTCTCTTTTTTAAAAAAAAATTTTTCCCCACTTTATTTAGTTTAATTATTATTAGTCCAGTATTTCTTTCTTTTTCTAATTTGTTTTCTACTTTATTTAGTTTGATTATTTTTGGTTCATTTTTTTTCTCTTTTTTATTATCAATTAATTAATTCCCGTTGACAGATATATAGAGTTCAAAGAAAAATGTGAAATAACAATAGTATAAAATATGATTTTACAAGTCTAGAATAAATTTAGACAAAAAAAATATATTTTTTATTTATTTTTGGATTAAAAGATAAAAAAAATTAGAAAGAAAGAAAAAAAAACTAAAATAATTAAACAAAATAAAGTAGAAAAAAATTTAAAAAGAAAGAAAAATAGAACTGGAAAAAAATTTTAAAAGAAAGAAAAATGGAACTAAAATAATTAAACTAAATAAAGTCAAAAAAATTAAAAAAGAAAGAAAAACTAAACTAAAATAATTAAATTAGCCCCACGAGTGCTGAGAGAATTATAGTCTTTTTTGTTTCAAGAGGGTGTAATGGTCTTATGGACATAACTTAGGGGGTAATTGTCCTTTAATAAAAATTGGGGGGAGGGGGAGGGGGGGGAGAGGGGTTAGAGTTTGGGACAAAACTCAGGGGTAATTTTCCTTATCCCTTTATTTAATCTTTCATCACATTTAATCCTTTTATATTTAGACAAATAAAATATTTTCAATAAATCGTTACTCTTCCCCTCATTTTTTGAGATTTCACCAAAAAGTGAGAGATGATCGATAAAGAATAAGGATTCCTGTTTTGATAAAAGGAATTGTGATGGAGCCAGATCATAAAACAAGGTCCCAAATCTATATATATATATATATATATATATATATATATATATATATAGATGGAGCCAGATCATTAAGGAAGAATTTTCAATCGGACACATAGCGCGAATTTAGATAGGCTAATCTACGTGGCGAAAAATTAGATAGCCAAAGTCCACATGTCGCAACCACGTCACTCCATCATTTGATGGTAATTTTAATTTGTAAATTCGTATATATATAAATAATCAATTTGACCTATTAGATAAAAATAACGAAAGCTTAATCAATTTTAATATTCCCCCACAGTTGGGACATTGATATAAATTAATCATGCGTAAAAGTTAAATCGTTAACTACATAACTAAGTGGATTAATATAACTTTTTTAAAAAAATTTGTAAAATTTAATAAATAAATAATTTTACTCATTACATATTTTTTTTAATGAAAATATCATAATATGAGTTTAATGCCCCGCATAAAATGTAAAATTTAATAAATAATTAATTTTACTTATTACATAAATAAGTAAATTATAAGTGTAGATTAATTACTATTATATATATAAAAGGAGAGTTTTCAATATTAATCTAAAGAAGAAAATTATATAAACTAAAGAAGAAAATTAATCTTTCCCCATCTTTCCACCATGGAAAGATTGGGAAAATATTATTAATTTTCTGTTTATATAATTCGTTGTTATATATGATATTTATGTATATATTAATTTTCATCATGTAAATATGTGAGTTGTCCACCAAGGCCACTTATAAGTATAAATTAAGAAACCCTATAAACCTCTAACACAAAGATAAAAATACATGAAAATAAACAATTTTGTTCTTTGATAAAGTATGGGATTCCGCACAATCTCATACTCAATCAAAAAATTATAATATAGAAATTATAATATCAATAAATGTGATGTTATGGGTCAATATAAGAATTATGTAATCTATAATAAATTATAACGTGTAATTTTAGAATGTCATAATATTATAAAAATTATGTAATAATTGATTCAATTTATTTCATTAAATGTATAATCATAAATTATAATTTTAGAAAAGCAATGAAAAGATGCAAAACACTAACTTCTAAAGGGAAAAAAAAATTACTAACAAACTTCTAAAGAAATGCTACAAAAGGTATATAGGGAGAGGGAAAATTATATCATGGAAAGAAAAACACATTTATAAATTTAAAATAATTATATGGAGGAAAAAATTATGTTGTAAGAATAAGAAAATTTGAAAAAAATGAGATAATAGTGAAAAATGAAATAATTTTTAAGAATGAATGCGTGGTCATCAAATTTTGCAAAAAACAAAAAGGTAAAGACTCTACAACCAAGAAAAAAAAAGTATACTTTATATTATGGGAAAATATACGAACAAATTTTTAGAGAAAGATTACAAAATGTATATAAAAGAGGGAAAATAAATAAGTTTGTGAAAACAAATAATGAAAAAATTTTGTGTTAGAAGGAGTGTTTAAAAGATGTGATACATGTAGAAATATTTAAAGAGATCATTATAAAAATTCTAAAAAATATTTTTAAAAGATATAAAATGGATATTATTAATATCATATAATCATTAAATCATTAAACTCATATATATCTTGAATAACCCGCACAACGTGCAGAGTAAATACTAATATTTTATAATACTCATATGTTAAACTATTGAATAGCGAGCTCCTAATAAACCCTTTTTAATTGTCCCATTTAATAAGTCATTTTAATTTGGTTGTACTTTTTTAGCTTAATAAATAAATCATTAAAATAAATGAAAAGAGTATAAATTATTATTTACCCGATTGATCTAAAGAATCAATTAAATAAACAAAAATTTAAGAAGGAAAGATAACTTGAGTAAAAAACTAATGATCGAAGAATCATAATGAAAATGTAGGTAATCTAATTTTTTTTTTATTTTGTCTCTACAAAGCAAATTGGAACTGATAGTGAATCATAGATGAGTGTTACGAAGAGACTGGACACTATTTATATCCTCTTTGTACTGTGATTGTAACGACTAAATGATGTGAAATATTATCTCTGTCTTAAAAGAATACTCGATGCCGTTTTTAATATACATTTTGATTTGTTCTAAGTTTCACCTAATATATATTTTTAATTGAAGAAAATTTTTAAAAAATAATTTTACATTCAGTGTTCTCTTGATTTATTAGAAAATATTTTTAAGGTTTTTTTTATCAATTTTAAATGCGTACTAGGTGAAATTCAGGACATATCAAAATGCCTTATATTAAAAATTGGAAGGAATATTACATACCAAATTTTTAAATTTGTATTAATTTTAATACAAATTTGTCTATTTCACGATCTTCAGAATATGCACAACTCAAATCCACATTAGATTTTCGAGTTATCTCCCATTAATTCGACATTATAGTATTCCCTCCTTCCATTCCACAAAAATAGTTCAGTTTAATAACAAATCTTGTCCCAAAAAAAAAGTCCAGTTTCGAAAAAATCAAAATTAAAATAGACAAAATGACCACAACATCCCTAAAATTTGAAGATTATTACAGTATTACACTGGCAATCCAATCAATTTTATCACACCAAATTTAACTCACCGTATTTTCACCCATTCTGACTTCTCCCGATCTCCGGCGCCGCCTCCTTCACCACTTTCTGCTGAACCCCGATCTCCTCCATTACCGGCGCCGCCTCCTTCACAGCTTCCCCCCGAATCCCGATCTTCCCCACCACCGGCAAAACCTCATCTTCTTCTTCTCTTCAATTTTCATGTGTTAGCATGTAATTTCGTCCAAATTCCGACTCTGATTCACACGAGGAGGACTAGATTTGAGATCTTTCATCATTCACGGTTTCATAAGCTCCTGCTTCACCGGTCGACCTTCAATAACTCAGTTCGATGAGATGCCAATCCGACACCAATTTGGCACGATTTAGCTATGTTAATGACCAAAAAGAAAAAGCATTCATTGCTGGTGGATTTCTGTGATTGATTGTGATGATCGGCGTAGACTCGTAGTTTCTCGGCTGTTCTCTTACCGGTGATCGACAGATAGAAACTAATGAAATAAATGGGATTAGATTTGCTAATTAATTTTCAGCTGGGATTTGGGGGCAAAATTGGAAGTTCATATGATAATAATGAGTTATACCTTGCTAGTTTGACTAAATTTGAAATTGGATTATTTTAGTTTGACTAAATTACAAAATTTGTAAATTTTGAAATTGGATTATTTTTGTGGGACGGAGGGAGTATTATACAGCAGTATGAGCAGGTATCATGCATTTAGTGTCCTTCTCCAAT